GGTCGAAAGGACAGGCACCTCATGCCATTGCAACCAGGTAATCCTAAATGTATTGGGAATTGTATACTCATGAAATTGTATGCTCGCCAGAACTCTAACCAATCGTCGTCAAATCTGACGAATAACGTTAATCTGACTTTAGCGCCGGATAGCGTAGACGCTAGAATTTAGAGTCTCGAGGTGGGAGAATTAACCCGCTAGGATTTATTGTGCTTTGCACCTTTTTTGGCAATTCCAGGGTTAAATTCATTGTTTAAAAATTTCTCAGGCTTAAATAATGTCTAAAGTAACTTGAATAACGGTTGGGTGCGTTGTTTAAAGTTACTTCATCTAATGCGATGATTGGTTGGTTGAAGGTGGTTTTACTGGCACTTTCGTAAAACAAGTTGTTTGCCGTTTTCATTCTGGCAAACAACTTGCTTTACGTCAACATGTCAAGGTGCTTGACGCAATGAAACTGAAGGAGCTATGGCCACATACATGACCTCCCATCCGTGATCACTACAGTACTAACATTATCTACTCCGAGTAATGTATATAACGTTAGGGATATAGTTAGGCTACAGTACATGTAGTCGTCGCTCTGTCCAATGATTCAAAGCTATGCCATACCTTCAACTCTTGATCTGCTCTAACCTTAGCACTGTACGTGGAAGGCAATGGCGCACTACGACTACATGATGTATAGTACTCCCATTTCACATCCTAATACGGTATGCATCGTGATGAACTGGTGGTTGTACGGCGTAAGTTGGCCTGGTGCTGCAACTCGATTAGTTAGCAGTTGAAATAAAGTAAGCGTTGTTTTATTCTGCTGAAATGCAGAACTTGTGTTTAGCGTTGTTTTATATTCAATCGGGCTTATATTATTTTAAACGCCTGGTTGTTTAACGCAGTTAAACAACGGGCAAACTACATGAAAAGCACAATACTAGTAAAACGCAACAAAATCTGACTGAAAAAATACAGTTTTGGAGTTTTAGTGTCACGTATGAATAAAACACGAAATTTACTTCGAAGATTCTTTGATATTTTCAAAAGTGTGTGACTTGAAGTGGCCAAAATAGCCATTCTCCTATTTTATCAGATCCGACAATGCCTTTCAAACGGCCAATGAAATTAAAGAAAATTGTATCATGAGCCAATCATAGAGGCGTAGACGTGCTCGCAGCAATACTACTGTAGTACGTAACAAGTGGGTTTTTCTAATGACGGCAGTAATTTGGATCAGAGGAAGTACCGTATTTCAACCAAGTGTTATCTGGGTTTGGGTCCTATGTATCGATCGCTGTACAATTCCCTCATTAAAAACAGTTCCACTGTTGTTTTGACCCGAAATACTGTTTCAATGAGGTTTATATGGAACTTTGTATGATCAGACCACCTCACCTCTTACTAGGGGTTAAGTGCATCTCAGTGGTTAGCGATAGCTAACCACTAGCGATGCAGTTAACCCCATAGATTTAGCATCATATGTACTCACCGGGGGTAGGAGGAGTCCCAGGTTACAGGGCTACTGGCGAAAAGGTGTATCCGGATGTAATAATTCCCTCATTGAAACACTGTTTTACAGTTAATGAGAGAATTATTCATCGATCGCTTGACACTGCAGCACATCATCATGCTGCTGATGGGTGGATGGGTTGAAGTACACCCCGCTGCAAACTTGAACTTCGTGCCTTGGCGACGTCTCATTTGACTTCCAAGACGTAATTTCACTTGGCCAAAGTAACGTTAGGTTAACTTTAGGTAAACGTAGCACGTGGATGAATCTCACAACCGCGACATTCAAAGTGGATGGGTGCATACGATACAGTGTACTTGCGGAAGTGCCACGAAGGACCAAAGCATTCCACATGCCAGTTGCATGCGTTCGGCAAAAAGAGTTTGGTCCTTGTGTTTAAGTTTACGACTACGTTTCCTCAACACAACAGTCCATATATATATATACTGTGTATGGGAGCATGGTACATTATTGTTTGAGATTCGAAGTCACAGTGGTCGACAGCTGTGAGGGACCCTTTGGGAATATTTTTTGCTGCGTAAACACTTGAACTGTAACAAACAGTTTGAATGATCATTGTTCACAGACCAAGCAACAAAAGTGAGCAGATCAATATATCATCAATGTTGATATCCTCGCTAAAGCGATGCTTCAAAGTTTCAACATGAGTTATTTTTCACCGTATTACATCATATTGTTCCACATCTAATAAACGCGTTGTTTCATTTTATGAATAAAAAGAGGTAAAGATCTGAGAACAATTCTCTCATAATCCATCCATACACATCTGTGAATCGTTTGAATGTACTACGTAGTACATGAACATTCATAAATAACCCAGCTTCAGCATACCTGCTTACTACGCAGTAGTACCGGAGGTTCGTCCAAAGCACTTGTGTTTTCCTGTCATTACACGCAAATAACGTTGCGTCTCGGCAATGCCGATGCCAATCTATCGTCTATCGTCCAGACACGTTTTCCATGGCGTCGGTTGTCTGCAGATACTTTGGTATTAATAGTACTGTAACGTTACAATGCTGATGTTTTTGAAATTTCGTACCACTCCACAAAATGTAAATGTCAACAGCAGCTGGCTGGAGCTGTACCGGTACAGTTGTATCCTCAAAAGTCACGTCCTATACACCAATCTACAGCGAAGTCAAAAAACCAAATCATTTCAAGTTCTACCTTTACCCAGCAACATGCTTACCAAGATCACGACTTTGCTGTCTGCTTCATTCGCCATCACCGCAGCCTTCAGCTTCGATGACAGTCGCCCTGAGGTCGACTACGACTACGAGATCGACGAAGACCACCGTTTGCCCCGCTCGGTGGTCATGATGATCCCTGACGGCACAGGACCCAACATTTGGGCCCTCGCTCGCAACATACTCGACCCGACCCACAAGAAGATGTTGCACATCGACCCGCTTTTCCGTGGGTCTGTCCAGACCTTCTCCAACACGTCACTCGTCACGGACTCTGCTTCGTCTGCCACCGCGTACTCGACGGGTTTCAAGACATACGACTCTGCGATCGGCGTCGACATGGAGATGCGCCCCCTCGGCACCATCCTAGAAGCTGCGCAAGCCCGCGGCATGGTGGTGGGAATGATCGTGACGTCCCGTGTCACACACGCGACCCCCGCATCGTTCGCAGCCCACATCCACGATCGCAGCCTCGAGAACGACATTGCCGATCAGTACTGCGACAACGCGAACTTAGACTTTTTGCTGGGCGGTGGTAAGCGCCACTTCAGCGACGCGTGTCTGGCCAAGCTCGAGGCGGCCGGCTACACCATCACGCATGACAAGGACGAGTTGGCCGCGTACCGCAAGACCAACGAAGCCAACGGCACACTGCGCATGTTTGGGTTGTACCAGAAGTCGCACATTTCGTACGAAGTGGATCGCATCCGTGGCGAAACCAACGAGCCGAGCTTGAGTGAAATGACCGAGCACATCTTCGCCATCCTCAAGAACAACAAGCGGGCCCAGAAGCACGGGTTCTTCGTCATGATCGAAGGCTCCCGCGTTGACCACGCCGGACACTCGAACGACGCGGGTACCATGGGCAAGGAAGCCATTGAGTTCGACAACACCGTGAGCGTGGTCAAGCAGTTCGTGTACTCCAACCCGAACGTGGCGATGATCTCGGCGGCCGACCACGGCACCGGCGGGATCACGCTGGGTCATGACGGAGTGTACAAGTGGGAGCCCGAGCCGCTGGTCAAGCAGGTCATGTCAACAGAAGGCATGGAGGCGCTGTTCAGCAGCGACCGTGCCACATACACGGAAGCGACGGCATTGCAAAAGGTTAAGGACCTGATCACCCAATACAGCGCCACCAAAGAGATCACCAAGGAATGGGATGCCATCTTCGCGGCCGAAGTAAAGCAGATTGTCGCCAACGCCACGTACTCGACCTCCAAATTGGTCATATACATGGGTCAATGTATTTCGCAAACAGCCTATATCGCGTGGACCACCATCGGCCACGTCGGCACGGACGTCAACTTGTACTGCGCCGGTCCGTCCGTGTTCACCCGTCGATGCAACGGCAATCATGACAACACGCATTTGAACCACATCATGACCAACTACCTCAACTTGGACCTCCAGTCGATCACGTTGAAGTTGCGCGGATACAAGCCCAACGACATCCAAACGGCTATCCCCACGGTGACCCCCAACGCCACCAACGCCACCAACGTCACCAACGCCACCAACGCCACCAACGTCACCAACGCCACTAACACCACCACGACCCCCACCATCACCTCGGCTAGCCCTGCCACCACCAAGGCCTAAAGTGCTACAGCGAAACGTCTTAATATATATTTCGAATATTTCAATTTTGTTGTTTCAAAGCTAGCTATTCGGTATTCACTTGAACCCTATCCCGGTAGCTATATAATATGGGGCAGGACAAAAGGTAGTTTCAGTATGACGGTGTGTTGTTCCCACACTGCGCCAACACAAACAACCAAATTGGGGAGCGCCACCTCCCTTGAACCACGCACTTGATTGATATGTTTGTTGCAGAGCGAAACTAGGAGTGAGCTTCGGTACAGTGCTGGACAGCAAAATTCGCGGAGAGTTGGATCTAGTCATAAAATAGAAGTGAGGTGTAAACTTTATTGGCCAAAATACCAAGGAATAACTAGCATAAGACCAAAAGATCGATGTGATTGGCGCATTTGAATTTGAACATTCGCGCGCATGCATGCCATTTCAAAATGACCTTCTGGCGCAAAACGAGGCCAATACCGACGCTACGCAAGAGACTTCTCACCGCATTCAGAGAGGGGATCAGCAAGGACGAAGCCATGTTTTGCCGTGAGCATTCGATACCCGAGGGGACCTGGCGAGGATGGCGTCAAAAGGAGTCGGCCATCTTGTCGACCAAACGTCACGGCAGTCGTGGTTTCCTGGGTAACCAGGGAGGCAAACCGATCCTTCCGTTTGCCGACGACCTCCTCGCGTACACACTAGAACGCCGCCTTGGGGCAATGCATGTTCGTGTTTTCCACCTGATGCGATGGATCCGGCGCAATTACTTCGAGTAGCTCATCACGTACTTCATCAAATGAACTTCCAACAGCACTGTACTAAGGGGCCAGTTCCGTACCACTTTTTGAGACCCTTGGATGGAGATATTCCTCTTATCAAAATTCGCATTATAATAGAGATTTCAAATCAGGAGAAAAAATGTAGTTCGTGTGACTTGATATTGTATCGATTGCGTCTGTACTTTTAAAGGGTTTGAACATTTAAAAAATGGATAGGCTGAAAACAATTCCGTGCCACGTTATCCGAAAATATGACCTCCACATACGGATCCTACACTGCGGCAACTCCACATACGTCCGAATGGGGTCTTTTGCGTCCGAAGGACCTGCTGGCATATTCATCAGCCATAAGCTTGCACTCAGTGGCTTCGCGTCGCCGTTCTTGAGCCTTGGTCTTCAAGCTACCTGAATTCTCCTCAGGGCAATTGCCTTCTTGCCACCAACGATATACGTCCTTGTCAGACAGCTCGCCAACGCCGTAGACGAAATGGACACCATATCACTGGTGAGCGCAAAAGAAGTGCTTTACCCGGAAAGCTGCTAGAACGACATCAAGGTGGCGCTTGAAGTGGTTGAACACCGAAACGTTCTATCGTTCTTGCCGACCAATGAGCATTGTAGCCATCCATAAGCAAGAGCACCGCTCGTTTGGGACCGAGTTGATTTGCAACCATTCGAAGTACTGTATGAACAGATGCGTTAAGAAGAACGACGTCTTGGATGCAGCAAAGGTCGAGCCAGGAAGACCACCCTCAGTCATGCGCTTACACACGTTCGCTCGGGGCAGAATAAAGAATGGGGGGTGTACACCACCAGCATTCACACACACTAGAACGGACACATTTTGCCTGCTGTCTGGCATTTTGATGCTGGCTGGCATTCGTTTGGTCGCTATCACCTTCGTCTTGTTCCGCAAGCCTGGAGCACATGTCCCCGACTCATCAAGATTCCAAATACAATCTGGATCGAACGTGTGCTCTTCGAAGACCGTGGCCAAGTTGATGTAGCGGCTTTCACAACGTCGGTTGTACTGCGCTTGGCATGAGCGGCGTCCATGGCTTATGCACTCGGCGTTGAGAAATGGCTGGAGTGACGCTTGATGAAACGCTTCACATATGTGACGGACAGAAAGGTGTCCGGGATAGTACGTTTGTGCTGGTTGTTCTCCAGGTATAACCGTATGCTCGCAAACATGTCCCTGCTGAAGCACTGAGCGTGCAAGGTTCGCTCGTTTACGGCTTGGATGATCCCTTGGCCGTCACCATCAGTGAGGATTGGCGCGTGTCCGTGTCGCGGTGCGATTTTGAGCCAATCAGACTCCCTCGGTGAAGGCCCTTATCTTCCGACCCATGTTACGCCGAGGAATATATGATTGGTGGAAACTCCGACAAAACCGAAGGGCGAGTCAAACCGAAGGACGTGACAGCCCACTCTGTGCCCAAAACGATCCAGCACCCACAACCTTGTGAATCCAAGGACCGGTTCAAATGCTTACAACTTGCCACGGACTACCTCGTGACGCCTATTTGCGGGAATCTCCTGGGACGGTGAAGTGGCCACGCCAGCGTGACAGTACACAGAGAGCTGCTTAAAGCTAAAACTGGTAGAATGATAGAACACGGAAGGCGGTTTGAGGACGATGGAAAGATAGAACGAATAGCGTCAGCTAGAGGATAAACTAACTCGACTTTACATTTGGCCTCTAACTCCACACCTGGATTTGGGATTCTACGCTTGCTCGCGCCGCACCTACCCATCGATCAGTTACGGAAGAACCCCGTGACATTTTTTGGTTGAGCAGCAGGGTAGGTGTTTGCAGAAGAAGCGCAGAAGAATAAAAGAGCTAAATGTCGACGGAAACTCAAGACCCAACCACGAAGGCGGTGCGCCAATCGCGCTGACTTGCCGTTGAAATCCCCGAGTTTGCTATGCGAGACCGACCGGAGCGAATCGACCCGGTGAATCCACGGCCCTCAAAGGAAACTAGCTACCTCGGTGGGGCCATGATGACGCCGGAACGGAAGAGAGACGCTGAAAGCTCGCCTAACGTGTCTCCACCGACGGACCGCCACGACTCAAGACCACCTCTGAAGAAACTGGCGTTGGCTGAGGAGAATGAGTTGGCTGTTACCTGCCCACCCTTGTCGGTGAAAAGTGGTCTGGAAGAATGGGATTCCGACAATGCTACCAGTGCGCGCTTACTGAACCCTGTAATGGCCCCCGGATACTCCTCCCTAGTCCAAGAGGAGTCCGTCGGCCAGGTTCAGAGAACGCCTACCTGGAACGAACCCCGAGTACCCAGGCACACAGTGATCGCTACGATTACTGTAGCGAACGGAGGGACACGAGACCTGTAACGCACGTACCTAGAGTTTACGCGGGGAATATAAGAAAGCGAAAGAACAGCGACGAATCGTTTCTTCCGACAACTTCAAGAGGACCAAGCTCGCCTCTTGGACTCCCGGGAAACAAGACTCGTCGATATGGCTGAGAACATGACTCGAGCAGCTGAGGCACATGAAGTCCATCCACAAGGCGTATTCAATGAAGCTCTGACGTACCTTCGTGACGGGCTCGCTCGGGAACTTAAAGTGGCCCGTGCATAAGTGACGAATGAAGCAAACGAGGTATGCCACGTCGAGGTGAAGAAAAACGAGAATGAGTGGACCTCCCGGATGCAGGACCTCCTACAAGAACGGTTGGCGTCGGAATGGGAAAGCCAGAAGGCACTTATCCTGCGGGAGAAGGATTCTCAGGTAGCTATGCTAACACGGCAGTCCACCGAGAAACTTCGCTCAATACGAGCGGAGGCAGCCCACGCCATGGAAGTCCGCCACATGGAGGAGGCCATTCATCACGAAAGCGCTCTCAACCAGTTGCGAGAAGATCACCGTTCAGCGAAGCGAGCACACGTAGAGGATGTCCAGCTCTTAGCGGGGGAATCTCGGAAAGATATCGCGACGTTGGAGTCGACTTACGAAGCACGAGATGAATAAAGAGCCCGGGAACTTGCCTCCTCTCAGGCCGAAGTACTCATGAAATCAGCCGAGCTGGAGCGAACGAATACGGCCTTACACGAGATTCAAGCAGCTGGACTCGTTCGGTCCGAATGTGGGAGTTGCCCTGTCCTCCAAGAAGAAATCCAAGTCCTCCAAAGAAGGATTAGAGCGCTCGAAACTACTGTCAGTAACGAGGTCAACCGAACCGAGGGACTTGAAGCCTCCCTCGCCGAGGCAGGCAACTCACTCCGCGTCAGCGAACAGTGCACTCGAGAAGCCGTCGAACAGCTGGACCATGAGAGAGTTCAATTCCAACTGGCCCTGCAGGAACAACAAAAGAGCCGGCTCGACCTTGAGCGGACAACAGAGGATCGAGTCCGTGTCATGATTACGGAACGAGAATCGAAAGGAGCCGAAGAAGTACTACTGGAACGGACTCGAGTCGAGGCCGAACGAGGTCAGTTAACTCTAGAGCGTGCAGCAAACGAAGAAGTCTTGGCGCGTATCTTTGAAGGACTGGCGAACCAAGACGCTATCATGCGCCTCCTCGAGGATGCTGAGGAACAATTGCGCAGTGATCGGGAAAATCATGAAGCTATGTTAGCCCAAGCCTACGCCCAACTTGGACGTCAGTAAACAAACCTCGAGATTGAGAAGCGCAACGCTACCCTCAAATCGCAGGCCGAGCGCATTCGACCGAGCCCGATACTGACTCCCTACAGTTCCCCTTCAGCCTCTCGGAAGGGATCTCCCACGAAGGGTGCCTCATCCACGTACGAGTCAGCCACCATGGCTCCTGGCTCAGTCTCCGTAGTCTCGACCCCTCGCCGAGCCTTCGATTACCTCGAACGCCCTCACTTCATGCAGCAAACCGAGACAGTCACGGAGTCCACGTCGTTGCAACCACCATTGTATCTCTACCCGGTGGTCGTACCACCCGTTCCAGTGGCTCCGCCTCCGGCGACACGTCCAGAGTACAGTATGTTTGGTCAAACGGGGAGAGGGCCTCTCAATATGCCGAAACCGGGGAGTGCGAGCTTCGACAACGGGCCCCCTAGATACCTCACGGCAAATCAAGGAAATTCTGGCAGACAACCAGGCCAAGGACCCGGCGGAGGGCCTGGAGGGGACCCTCCCCATGATCCCAACGGACCTGGGGGATACAATCAAGGTAGCTATGGGGGGTTTTCTGGACGACACGGAGGACCACCACCTGGACCTCCGGGAGGAGGGGGTGACTATGGAGGTGGAGGGGGACCGCTTACCCTTCTCAACCCACCTCGGACGCGGCTCGGCGATCTTTGGCTTGGTAGGCAATGACCGATGCACGGAAGTACGCCCCGAAACTAGACAGTGCGGACCGAACGATCCCTCTCGAGCATTTCCTTCCCCGGT